AGACCCAATTTAAATGCTATAGTTTCAAATTTCCTTCTTAATATACAGTAAGAGAAAAATTTTGCTGATAGAGCATCTCCAACATGAGTATATTCCCTCATTTAAGTTAATTACAAAAAGAAACAAGTTATGGCAGAATCTTATGGAACTTTTAGTGAATCAAGATATGTTTGGGCACACGCATATTTTTGCTAATAGAGCATCTCCAACATGAGTAAATTTCCTCATTTAAATTATTTTCCGCTTCATTCAATGGAGCAAAAATTTAAAGTGTTTTGTCTATATGAAACTAATCTAATAGGATTAAAATAATTGAGTACAATTTATAATCTCTATTAAAATCATAACCTATTAATTAAGAACATAGAGCCATAACTTGCTGTAACCATTTGGAAGATGAGATTAAAAACAAGAGAAGTCACAAAGTGAAGGAGAAAATATATATTCACATGGATTTCTTTCTATAATTACAAATGACAAAGCAATATGTAATATTTTTGCCAAAACCAACAAATAATGAAACAAGAATGCAACAATCTGAACATTTGCTTTCATATTCTCCAATTTCTTATCCACTATTCATGGCATAAACAAACCGAAATGACAAAACTTATTTACCTCCCTTGAGCAGAAAGTTTGAGAAAAAGATAGAGAGGATAAGAGAGTTTGTGAGTTTGGGAATGCCTTCTCTATGGATTCACTTTGCTTGGTTAGAGATTTTCAAAAACACTTTTTAGAAAATTATACTTTTTTGTTTTCCTTATTTTTTTTTATTTTTACTAAATTTTTTTAATATTTTAAGCAATTTTTTTTTTTACTTTTTAGACATACCTAACATAAATATATCTAAAAAGTAAAAAAATTGTGAAAAAAAAACCTTTTAAAAATTCACTAAATACCAAAAATACAAAAAAAAAATGAGAATTTAGTACATTTTTTGTATTTTTATGTATTTATTAATTTTTTAAAATATTTTTTCATAAATTTTTTACTTTTTAGATATATCTAAGTAAAGTGCATCTAAAAAAGTAAAAAGATATTTAAAATTTTAAAAATATTTACTAAAAACAAAAAAAAACACGAAGATCATAAAATTCAATTTTTAAAAAACATAATTCAAAAAATTCAAACCAAACACACTTTTAGCTAGGAATGTTCACGGGTCAAGTTGGTTCAGATTCCCCCCTTACCCGCTAACCGAACCGAACATGTCGGGTGAAAATATGAATCACCCGCTTTCGACCACCATACTGGTCGAAATCATCCAAACCAAACAATTCGGTTTGACGGTCAGATAGGATCGGACGGATGATACATACAAAACAGTTTTTGTTTTTTTTTCTTTTCACTTTCAAACAAAACTCAAAATAAAAAATATATGCAATCCAAAATACATAAATACTGATCTAGGCCAGATCTGAAAAGGGATATTGAAAAAAAAAATCGATAATAGCGAGGCTATACTCACACATCATCGCACAATTATCATCGTCACTTGACACCACCGCCAAGCAAAAGTGTTCAAAAATCAAGAGTGAGTGAGAGAGAGAGTTATTACCAGAATTGATCAATCATCATCATCAAATTTTAACAGTCCAATGCTTGCACTTCACTAAAGGGCTTTGGTAGAGCTTAGATATCCATTGCCCCATTGTGCGTGTGAAAGAAGAAAAAAAAATGAGAAAGAGAAAAGACAAAACGGTCAAGAAAGAAGGAGAGGCAGACGAGAGGTTTAGTGTGAGAGAGAGAGAGAGAGAGAGAGAGAGAGAGATGAAACGGTCAAAGAAAGGGCTGAGAAGGAAAAGGTCGGGGGGAGAGGAAGAGAGAGGGGGATAAGAGATATTGGTTAGATGTATTGGTAATGAATAAAGTTGGAAAGATATTCTTGGATATGGAGAGACAGACAAGAGAGTTAGACAGAGAGGATGGAAAAAAATAAGAAAAAAAAATGTTTGAAATATATTTATTTATTATTTATAATAATGTATTTGATAAGTGTTAAATTTTAATTTATTAAATATTTTAGTATGTAAAATTTAATTTTAATGTAATATCCTTAAAAATTATTTAAAAGTAATAAATTAGAAAGATATATCATTAAAGCTAGTCAAAAATTGTATATATAATAAATTTAAAGTTATTCCAAGGCCTCGTTTGGGAATAGGCTTTTTTAGTAATTTTTTGATTTTTTTGCTAAAATGTGATGTAAAAAAAACTAGTATGTTTGGGATGATTTTTTGACTTTTTACGAAAAAATGTCCAAAAAGTAAAGAGAAAATAAAATTTTTGACTCTTTAGTATGAGTTGTTGGCTTTTTGATTTTTTAAATAACTTTTTAACTAAACCGGTCGCTTCCCAAACGAAGCCTATGAATATAACCTGTAGGCCTATGTCTTTAAGAATAGGGGATACAGGTTATTTATTGGGAAGACAAAAAGATTATTGGGAAAGTGTAGGTCTCCGTTGAAATCTAATAGATTCATATCTATCATATATAAATAATTCGGACGGGTCGAGTTTAGCAATTTTTTCTTTATCAAGACTCACACTCGATCGATACCTGTAGAAATTCCAATATCTGAACCACAGTCGACCGTACTAATTGTCGAAACCATCCATATTACCTTCGGATCAGGTGGTTCGAGTCGGATTTATTAGGTGATTCGGATCTATGAATAGCCTTACTTTCAGCACCAAAATGAGAGAAAAACTTCATCGACAAAAACAGAACTCAGAAGCCAAAAACAAATAAAAAATTAAAAGGCCCATGAACAGTATCTTGCTTGTACAAGCAAGGTAATGTAGCTCACAGTCATCTCGACAATGCTTGAGCGAGTCTGGTGGAGCAATCTTTCGCCCTTCTAAGCTAAAAAGAAAGAATGGCTATACTCCTAGAGATGCTCTTAGTGATAAGATTGTTAAATTATTTTTATATAAAATAAATAAATAAATTATTTTTATATTAAAAAACTAAAACAAATATTAAAACTAATAGGAGCATTTGGAAAAATAATATATATATGTATATAATGGACTTAATCCTCCCACTATCAATATGTTCGCCCATTTTACTACCAAACATGCTATGGGGGGCGGGACCCATAGCCATGATAGTCCAATCCGGCCACTCAATCCGCAAAACAAACACGGCCTTATGGTATTGTGGAGCCAAGGAAACTGTGAAATTTTCTGAAAATATTAGAGGTAAAATCGTTTTTTCACAAATTTGCTAAAAAAATCTATTTTTTTATAGATAAGAAACTAGTCCAGACATAGAGTGAGTCATCATTTGTCTTCTAATCTTCTAACAAAGATGAATGAGTATGTTTTACTCATAAATTTTTTTGATACATTATTAGTTTTGAAATAATGTAAGCAACACAATGTGATACTTTAGATTTATTGAATAATTACTATGGATGAAGAATTAATTGTCGGATTATTTAAGTCATCACCAATTAGATATGAGTATTAATTTTTAAGTACAAATTTAAGTCAAAATTGACAGATGTGATCGGTGGGAACTAGATAATGAGTGGTGACCCAGCATAATTCAACATAATCCAAAGCCAAACATTTTGGTTTACAAATGATTTTTCATATTTTTGTAAAAAAATATTATTTTTCATATGGAATGGACAAAAATGAATAAGTTGAAGCTGACATAATTTAATGAACTTGTATTTTTTTTTTTTAAATGATCAACATGCAAACAAAAATTAATTATTTTGAATTTTTTATTTTTTAAAATGAATTATATGCTAATTTATTTTTTTATTTTTTAAACGTACTAAATTTTAGATGCATTTAATAATTATAATTTCTTTAAAAAAATTCAATAATATACTGATTTTTTATATTTATTGAATTTTTAACAAGAATTCATAAATATTTACTTTTTCAGTGCATTTAAAAGTTAAAATAATTAATAAAAATATTAAAAAATTACTAAAGACACAAAAAATCAAAAAATGCATTTGAAAACTCTAACTAAATAGAGTGATGTTTTTGAAATTATAAATTACGTGTGTTTGTTTTTAAATGGATGGATTTTAAGATGTTACAATATTTTATATAAAATTTATTTGTATATTATTGCTTTTGTATTTTTATTTTAGTGGGAACAAATAAAAAGTTATTAGGAAAATCACAACTCAGGGAATAATGAAAAAAATATTTCATTTTCAAGGGTTACAATGGGTATAGTGTAAGTCATTTTATCTTTATGATACAAGTCTTTTTTTTTTTTGTGTCAGATTTACATTCGAAAAAATTTCATATGTGGTTTAATTATTTTTAAACTCACTAATTCGCAATTACTCCAAATAATTAGTTCCCTGACCTATTTTGTTTTTAACTATTTTATTTTTTAAAATTATTAAACATTTTTAAAATATCATATAATATTACTTATATGTTACTCCCGCCAAAGCTCCTCATATGTCATTTTTTAGTCATTTTGCTTATCCCCTCCCCCACATCACCACTCCACCCATTTGAAGAAGAGAGAATCAGAGAAGGAAAAAATAAAAAAAAATAAAAAAAAAGAGAACAGGGGAATAACAAAAAAAAAAATTAATGTAAAAAATATAAGATTTCGATATATTAAGCATTAGTTTGAGAGGTTTTAAATATGCTTACAAAATTTCTTTTCACAACTAAATATACAACTATTCCTATATAAGTAGCGGTATTGAGAAACTCCCTATTAATTTTGCCAATTTTATGTGGGCGGATATTTTAAAAATATATATCTACTAATTTATAATTAAATTTATTTCTTATTTATTTATAATTTTCTCTTTAACTTATTTGAAAAATCAATCTCACGTACAACATATATTTGAACTTATATAAACCACAAACATCATAAATAAAAAAAACAAAACAAAAACCAAAAAAAAAAATAGAAAATAGCACAATGTACCAACTAAGGTACCATGACATATGAGAACCTATCGACGTAATTTTCACAAAAATATTCAAGCATTGTTTGCGGCTTAAGAGAGAATGTTGTTCATGATTATGTCACGTGCTTTGCACAAGGCTTCCAACGGCCCAACTTTGGGCATAGTAAGCCCTATCCCTTCTGTTAGATCAACTACCTCTTCAGTGACTCTCTCCCATTCAAAGCACTGAATTAATGACCCCAAAGCCAAACCCACAACATGTTGTGCCAAACCAGCCCCGGGGCAAACCCTCATTCCCATCCCAAATGGCATCAACTTGTGTCCTTCCATTTTCCCACCTTCGAACCTCTCAAGCTTAAAGCTTGTAGAATCATTCCAAATCTTAGGGTCTCGGTGAATGGCCCACATTGTGCCATGTGGCACGGTGAATCCCCCTATAGTGCAATCATCAAATGATACATGTGGTAACAACAACGATGCTGCTGAAAACAATTGGAAAGTCTTGGAGATGATAGCTTGAAGGTAATGTAGCTTTGAGATATCAAGTTCATCAATGAAGCGATCTTGGCCTACATGAGTGTCTATCTTGACTCTTGCCTTCTTCAATATCTCTGGATGGTTGACTAGAAGGGACATTGCACATCCTATTGTCACTGATGATGTATCTGTACCCGCTAGTATCATGTTCTGGACATTAAAGTTAATAAATGAAAATGAAAAAATAATTTTATTTTTACATAATCAATATTATATTTGTAACAAAAGATATTTTGTTTTAAACTATTAGACCTCAATTCTACTACATTATTTGCATGTCATTTATATATATATATATATATATATTTACACATCATTAATCACAAAAGTAAGAGACGATAGGGAGATGAATTTACCATTTTTTAAACTATTATATTTTGTTAGAAAAATGGTTTAATATAGGCATATTTTTTAGCTCAAATTTGAGTGAGCCCCAAACGTTGTTTGGGGTGGGTCTGAAGAGGTGAAGACAGAACGTCAAAACTATTTATGAGTGAATAGGAAGTTGATGTCGTTTTTCGAGTCTAACATTAAGTTTTTAGATAAAATTCATTTGAATTTTTTCAATAAAAATTATTATGGGAATTTAATTTAAATCTAAATTCAAATTTTAGATTCCTAAGTGGTTTTCTAAAGTTTGTAATTGTGGGAATTTAATTTAATTCTAAATTAAAATTTTTGGGTTCCTAAGTGATTTCTTAAAGTTTATACCTCTTCCTTTATTTATTAAACTATTCAAATCTTTTAATATATATATATATATATTCTAATTGTTTAGTATATATACCAAATAGTTTAATAATAAATTTTCCAAATAGGTGGAAGGAATCTATTCCACTAACGGCTCACTTTTTTTATTTGTTTGAAATTTTGTTCTGACCAATGATCAATTCATATATTCATATTGCGAATAGTTTTGCACTTGTTGACTTCGGGGTTTGGTACCTGTTCGGGGCTTTGGAAATTTGCCTATAAATAAAATCTGATTCCAATAGTCTAGGGGTTGAAAAAATTCAGTCTGTTATTTTGTCTCATTGCTGTCTAATTTTTCCTTTAGTGCATTTATTCTTCATATTTAGTTTTAGAATAATTTAAAGAGAGTATAGATCACATGTTTAGTTCACCGAACAAATTTGTTTGAAGTGCTTCTACAAATTTGTGAAGATCATTGTATCCTGGAAGATAGACGCCACTCAACCGTAAGCACCGTAGCGGGGTGAATCTGTCTTAAAGACAGAGTGTCACACACTCGACTTGGTCTTGAATTATTTATTCGGTTCAACGAAATAAATTCTGTAAGATTTATTTTATTTTGTTTGATTTAATTTCAGTTTATTTTATTTACACAGAAGATTGTTCCAACAATCTTAAGACAGAATCGAATTATTCTGTTTACAGAATTTTTCGTTTATTTCCTTTTATTTTTCTTCTTTTAAGAAAATTATTTTCTGTGGATTTACAAAATAATATTTTAGTTGGAAAAACAAATAGTGATTATATGCTATTTGACAGATAGTAGTAATATACTGTCTCTTTTCTTTGACAACTAGTAGTACGATACTGGTGTCATTAACAATTCAGAATATATTTTTGTGGAATTTTTTCAGAAATTAATTTTGGGTTTTAGAAATTATTCTCTGAGTTTTCATTACTTAAAATTCTGTTTTAGTATTTTAATTATTGAAGTGTTATAGAAATTTATTTTCTGTGTGGAATTAATTTAGTTAAATAAAATTTTATTTTATTTCCAAATTAATTGAAAAATAAAAGTTATTTTCTTATTTCTTTTATTTTACAGAATTTAATTTTCTGTGTGAAATTATTTTGGTTAAATAAAATTTTATTTTATTTCCAAATTAATTGAAAAATAAAAGTTATAATTTTTATTTCTTTTATTTTACAGAATTTAATTTTCTGTGTGGAATTAATTTGTTTAAATAAAATTTTATTTTATTTTCAAATTAATTGAAAAATAAAAGTTGCATTATTGTTTCTTTTATTTTTATAGAATTTAATTCTATGAATTTGGTTTAATTTTCTATGTAGTGTAAATTCTGATTATAATTTTTTTTTTTATATATTAGAATTGATGGCTACTGAAACTAATGCCCAAACAAGTACTACTGTGGTGGCTGCGATTGCACCAACCCCCTCTCCTGTGATGACAGTATCAATAAATCATGGAGAGAAGCCAGAGAAGTTCTCAAGAACTGACTTTAAAAGATGGCAACAGAAAATGTTATTCTATCTTACAACTCTGAACCTGGCTCGTTTCCTCCATGAAGATGCTCCTATCCTGAAAGAGGATGAAACTAACAGGCAAGTGGTTGCTGCGGTTGATACTTGGAAACATGACGATTTCTTTTGTCGGAACTACATCTTAAATGGACTTGACAACACATTATACAACGTCTACAGTCCAATCAAGACAACAAAGGAACTTTGGGAATCGTTAGAGAAAAAGTACAAAACGAAAGATACCGGCTCAAAGAAATTTGTGGTAGGCAGATTCCTAGATTTTGTAATGGTTGATTCAAAAATTGTGATCAGCCAAGCTTAAGATTTCCAACTCATTCTGCATGACATTCACGCAGCAAGCATGTCTCTCAGTGAATCCTTCCAAGTTGCAGCCTTAATTGAAAAATTACCAAAAGGCTGGAAAGAATTCAAGAACTACCTCAAACACAAGCGCAAAGAAATTTCTATGGACGAGTTAATTGTGCGTTTGAGAATTGAGGAAGACAACCGCAATTCTGAAAAGCGGGCTGGTAAGCATCCTATGGAGTCTAAGGCAAATGTGGTGGAACATACTTCAAAAATCAAGAAACGAAAGTCTTCTGGAGAAAGTTCATCACAAGGCTCTAAAGGGGGGGATAATAAAAAGTACAAGTTTAATGGCAAATGTTACATCTATGACAAAGAGGGACATCGGGCCAAAGATTGTCGTAGCAAAGGCAAAAGTAAAAGAAAAACAAGCAAGAAGCCTGCTCAAGCCCATATGACCGAAGTGGACAATATTTCCAATGGTGTCGAAGACATCAATCTTTCTGCAGTTGTTTCCGAGGCAAATCTTTTCTGAAATCCTAAAGAATGGTGGGTGGACACTGGTGCTACTCGCCATATTTGTACCGACAAAAAGATGTTCACGTCTTATTCTTCAGTGGACAATGGTGAACAACTTTTTATGGTCAACTCCTCAACTTCCAAAGTTGAAGGATAAGGAAAGATTGTACTCAAGATGACATCAGGAAATGAACTCACTCTCAACAATGTGCTGCATGTACCGGACATTCGCAAGAATCTTGTATCCGGATCTTTGTTGAGTAAGAATGGGTTTAGGTTGGTATTTGAGAGTGATAAATTTGTACTTACTAAAAATGGGATGTATGTAGGAAAATGTTATATGTCTGATGACCTTTTCAAGTTAGATGTAATGATTGTTGTACCCTCAGTTATTAATAATACTACATCTTCTTCTTATTTGCTTGAGTCTCCAAATTTATGGCATGGTAGACTAGGACATGTTAATTATGGATCTTTGCGTAGATTAATTAATATGAAATGTTTACCTAAATTTCACATTGATTCAAATCATAAATGTGAAATTTGTGTTGAGGCAAAATTATCTAAAACTCATTTTCATTCAATTAAAAGAAGTACGGAACCACTTGAATTAATTCATAGTGACATTTGTGATTTTAAATCAATTCAAACCAGAGGTGGAAAAAAGTATATAATCACTTTTATAGATGACTATATTAGATATAGTTATATTTATTTAATTCGAACCAATGATAAAGCTTTGAAAACTTTCATTCAATACAAGAATGAAGTTGAAAATCAACTTGATAAGAAAATTAAAAAATTTAGAAGTGATAGAGGTGGTGAATATGAATCACCTTTTGGTGAATTTTGTAAAGAACATGGAATAATTCATCAAACCACTGCTCCTTACTCACCTCAGCAAAATGGAATTGCTGAAAGGAAAAATAGGACTTTAAAAGAAATGATGAATGCCATGTTAATAAGTTCTGGATTACCTCATAACTTGTGGGGGGGAAGTAATACTTTCTGCTAATTATATTTTAAATAAAGTACCTCGAAAGAACATAAATCAAACACCTTATGAATTGTGGCGTGGAAGAGTACCATCCTACAAATACTTAAAAGTGTGGGGCTGTTTAGTTAAAGTGGCTATTCCTAGTCCTAAAAAGACTAAGATAGGTCATAAGACCATTGATTGCATTTTCATTGGTTATGCCAAAAATAGTAGTACATATCGGTTTTTAATTCATAAATCAAAACATTCCGAAATGCATGTAAATACTATTATTGAATCTCGGAATGCATCTTTCTTTGAACATGTATTTCCAAATAAGACAAGACAAGAGACTAGTAACAATAAGAGATCTCATGATGCTATTACTAGTCAGGATCAAGAACAAGAGTTAGATCAAAATAAGGAAGAGGAACTTAGGCGTAGTAAACGTGCTAGAACCTCAAAATCTTTTGGTTCAGATTTCCTAACTTTTTTGTTAGAAAATGAGCCTTTAACTTTTAAAGAGGCTATATCCAGTCCTGAAGCTCCTTTATGGAAAGAAGCTGTCAACAGTGAAGTTGAATCCATCTTGCAAAATCACACTTGGGAATTGGTGGATTTGCCACCAGGTTGTAAATCTCTTGGGTACAAGTGGATTTTCAAAAGAAAATTGAAAGCGGATGGATCAATTGACAAATACAAGGCAAGACTTGTAGTCAAAGGATTTAGACAAAAAGAAGGTCTTGATTACTTTGACACATACTCACCGATTACTAGGATAACATCCATTAGAATGCTAATTGCCATTGCATCTCTAGACAATCTAGAAATTCATCAAATGGATGTGAAAATCGCTTTCTTAAATGGTGAGTTAAATGAAGAAATTTACATGGAACAACCAGAAGGTTTTTCTACTCCAGGAAAAGAAAAGAAAGTGTGTAAATTGGTTAAATCATTATATGGTTTAAAACAAGCGCCAAAGCAATGGCATGAGAAATTTGACAAGGCAATGATGTCAAATGGATTCAAAATTAATGAGTGTGACAAATGTGTTTATATTAAAAACACAGACAAAGGTTATGTCATTGTATGTCTTCATGTAAATGAT